TTCCACTAATATATAAAATAAAGCACAACGTTTCGAGGGGGAGAAAGATATAGAGTTCAAAATAAAATGCTGAACTGCACCTCTTGGGCAGGGTCTCCACCTGTGTTACCCTTCTATTTGTAGGCCGAACATCGGGTGATCAGGCAGGGCGACAGTTTTGCTGTTTTTATCATGAAGACTCTAGGAGTGAAGGCATCGGCTTGTCGAAAGAAATGTTCCCTAGTCCGTGATTCCACCAACTGATAAGCTTCTAGGCCTTGTCAGAAAACACTGCACGCACATAACTGATGAATGTGCAGCTTACTCGATCGCCGCCATTGTTTCTTTCCGAAAGTCTCGTTTAAATGGGGAGGTGACGTCACGGTTAGGATAAAACATGGAAACGAGTTTGTATGTCTTCCCTGGAGACGAGGCCACATTGCAGGCGAAGTTTATTTCCGTGTTTGTTGCAGAGAGGATGGTGGTTGTTATCTACTAGATGTTATTTATGTTTGTTTTCAGTATGGTTAGTTCTTGCAAGGTTATTCATTTTATCTTTCTCTGGAGTATGGTGATTCTTCGAACTACAGGTAACGTTCACTTTAGTCTGATCTTCTGAGTAGTTGCTACTTGTGTCTAGAATTAAAGCGTTAGTAAACGATTTCGACTGACTGTTGTCTTAGTAAGCTAACAGTTTAATCTAAGGTGATTTTTTTCTGCGTACTACAAACAAGAGGAATGTTTGTGTATATTAACGGTGATTAATCTTCGATTTCAGACGGGGGAAACGTCACATGGTATGAACCTCCTCCGGTTGAGACAGCATCAGATCCCGGCATAGAGCTCACAGCGCACAGTCGACAGTTTCTTCAAGGATCTACTCATGTACAACTGAGCTGGAACTTCAGTCTGACGCCAGACTTAAGTCTGAGTTCGGTAATTCTAAGGCTAAATAGTGTGCAAGTTGCCGCTGTCGTGCTATTATCGGGAATAGCTGGATTATCATCAGGTTTTGAGGGAAGGTTCAACTTCACATGGATTTCCCAGAGAGCCACNGTTTTGAGGGAAGGTTCAACTTCACATGGATTTCCCAGAGAGCCACTTTGATTATTTTCAATGTGACTGAAGAGGATGATGGAGAATTTACCTGTGACCTGACTACTTTCCAAGGAGTAGACCAGAAATTGTGGAAACGCAAGATGAAAGTGGAAGTTTTAGGTAAGCTTGGAATTGTTGAGTTGTTTATTAATTAATTTCATTTCATCATTTCCTGATTTGCACACACGTAAGAGGCCGTGGAACTTGGATTTTTAGGAAAACTACCTTTCTACAGTGTAAGTTTGTCCCAATCTCTCAAGAAGAAACTTTTAAACCTATAAACCACATGCAGGTACCTTTACCATTTTAAATGCCTTCACCTAGGGGCCTTCGGCATTCTACTTCCTACTTACGTAAAGTATGCTTTGGTCTCTCTATTTACTTTTAAGGAGGCTCGAAAGGGTTTTTTGACCGTGCAAAGAACGGTTCCCAATGTACACGCGAGCAAATTACCCGCAAGAAAATCGCGCAATATCACCTGTGATAGCATGCATGTGCGAGTTGTAAACAAACATGGCCACCTTGGGCAACTTAAAAATGCCGGGTCCCTCTTCTGTTTTCAATTAAAGTGTTGTTTATAGAAGAAAAAAATGGAAAATTTACATCCCAGAAGCAATCAGAAAAGAGCTCAAGTGGCATAAAGCTGGCCAAAAAGGGGCCAAAAAGGATATTTCAAGAGCAAAAGGAGGCAGGTGAAGTCAGCAGCCCCGCATCACAAAAAATGCGATGATTGCAATCAGTAGGTTACATTTTGTTTTGCAGAGGGTTCAAGTGGAAACTTCTGAGCATTTGGATCTGTTAAATTCGTAATTAAAAACAGTAACCAACAAACGTACCTAAATAACTTGCAGGAAGCTGAAAAAGAAAATCAAAACAACTTTGGGTCCAGGATCGTGAACTTGGACAGCTTCATGAAGGAAATGGACAAATGCAAATCTTGCCATGAAGGTTAACATATTTCACAAGCAAACAAAATGTAGCTAAGACTTTATTTAAAGCTCAAAATATTGTATTACAGAAATTACAGACAGTATAATAAAAACAACATACATGTGTCATGCAGAATTGGTTTTCCCAAGAATGCCAGCCAACAAGAGGATTCTCTCCATAATACTTTGACATTTCCAAAAGTCATAACGGTAAGCAGTATGAATCTTAAGCATTGATTATCTTCTGGAATGTTTAACTCCACAGAACGATGCGAAACGCTCTCGTTCACTGAATGAGATCGTGTGAAGCTTTTGGGGGTCTCCTCGCAGGAATGAGCCCTTGAGTCAGTGGCATTGTTCAAGATGCTTGACCATAAATAGAAATGTGTGCTAAAATGGCGGAAACCGGAAATAAAGCTTGTTTAATTTGGTGATCTAATATCTCGAAAGTTATCTCGGTGACCTACCCCGATTTTTTGGATGAAAAAAAATTCGTTATTTCGCGTTTGTTAAGAAAATTTAGAAAAAATTATCTAGTTGAATTTTTTTTGTTGACTTCTTACAGCTCTTTTGTAAACGAATCAAGTTCTACTAGATAGTTTTTTCACATATCCCATGTTAGACTAGAGAAGTTGATGGTGTTTTCAAAAATTGAAAAAAATACTAGGTCACCGAATTGGTTTTTAAGTTATTTTTGAAAAACTGAGTTTGAAAGGGTCTTTTTGCAACACTGTACCATTGCCATAGCAGTAACCCTCCAAGTTGCAACCATTTTAGTCGCCATGGCGACTAGAATTTCAGAGCTGGCGACTAAATTAGAACGCAAGTCGCCAGCTCGGTGACTAAAATTAACGTGACCTATGCGTCAGGAGCTTGAGCGGACTATCATCTGGAGCGAAAAGAAAAACATTCTGAGCATTAAGAATTCACTTTGCAAAGCTAGATGTTGTGGGATTTTAACCAACAGAAATGGAGACTGAATAAAATGATATGTTACACGGTAAACAAAGATCAAGGAATTGCATTCAGTTGAGCTTGGGATGCGACGAAATTCGTTCCA